GGATGGCATATGATTAACTAGCGCAGGAGAGAAAGTGAGCCTTGGCTTTGGCATTTCCTCGCTCAATCTCATATCAGTCAGTCGTCTTACTATTGTCGAATAAGCTCTTAGGAAGCTATCGAATGGAGTGTGGGAAAGCGAGTAGAGGAGACCCCACCCCATTCTCTTACCCTTTAGGGGAAAGAATCATTGTTCCCCCAGCTGAAGACTCACCTTAAAAATCCGTCGTGTTGCCTGTCTCTTTCTGCAATGAGTTTAATGCCGAGATTTCCTACTCATCCGTTAGAGAGAATGGAACTTTACTGTTCCTCGGTAGGGCTAAAGGGAGGGTGTTGGTGTTACACAACACCGCACACGAAAGCGAAGCCAGGCCTACAGCTTTCAAAGAGGGGTGAAATCAAATCCAGTTCAAAGGAAGAGCTCACAAAGACGTGGCCAAATGAGCTACCCAACAGATGACGCCATAATAAGATCTTTCTGGTACGACAGGTTCCAATGAAGAAGAAGAGCTCAAGTCTGTCCTATGTCCTATCATCGGGCCGTAAAGCCCTCACTCCGCAAGCACTTTGATGAATCTTCTATCAGGTTTGATTTCGACCCTGATGAACCTGGCACCTTTCTTCCAGAAAGCCCCCATGGAGCGGTACCGAAAAGGCATTGGATGGGATGACTCTATCTATGGGCCCAAATGCCACTCTATTATACATGCAACCTCACTCCAGTAGCCGTCGTAGTTGTGGACAGAGCAGAGCAAGAGGACCTTGCCAATGTCTTTACCTTAAAAAAGCTGAGGCCCCAGTCCAATCGAACAAAGGCGCTAGCCAGTGTATTATAAGGGTAGTGTACTTTTTTTCCTTTTCGACAACAAGTTCTTCTTCGGCCCAACAGCGCCAATTAAGGTTGAGTACTAGAGGATTGTGAGAGAATCTAAGTTGACTCATCGCATACCGGGCGGATCCTATCTCTTGTTATCCCTATTTCTCGGAATCTTTGAAGAAAAGAATCTCCTCAAAGCAGTTGATCCATTTCCACCTCACCATTATCCACTTCATTAGGGTCCCCCGCAAAAAAGCCATGGAAAATAATGCTCTCTTTCCATTTCAGAAAGAGACTCCCACAAATCATAGCAACAAGCCGGATTAGTGAAAACTCTGTCAAGCCTCGCCCAAACAAAGCCCCCACTCTTGCTTATTCGACCAGGTTTTCTACCACAGTCAATGATGCCACAATCATTAATCATTGCATTGAATTCCTACAAAGATACAAGATTTGGAGGTCTTCCACCAAGTTTTTCAGACACATCTGAAATGGCGTTAAAATCACCCGCAACCCTCCATGGACCTTGTATGTCTTAGGACAGTAATGGAAGTTTTCCCAAAGAATTGAATAGAGCACTTTGCGTAAAGAAAGGTAAGCCTTACCAGATCAGAATTAAGGAAGCTGGTGTCGACTATGATACACTGTTCAAAGGCGTCTACAAGCACTACATTCACTTCATGATTCCAACAGATCCATCTTTTATCATCTGCCTCTTGATTTGCCAATGAAAAGTGGAAACCAATTCTGTTGGAGAATTACTAAATCTTATTAGCATGGTAAAGAGGTTCAAGAATAGCAATCAACGATATATTATACTACACCTTATTTATTTTCTATTTTATGTTGCCTATGCCTCTTATATTTCACAAGAGATTATTAATCATGGCTAACAATGGAAGAAGTTTAAGAAGAACGAGCCAATGCTCTAGTAATCCTTCTGGAGCTCTTAAAGTTCGATTCTTGTACTTTTACAGATGTATCTAGCTTCTCTCCTTGTAGGATTCAGAAGCTTTCTATTTCTGGGCACAGTCAGTGTTCTAGAATATCGAAGCATAAGACTTTATAGAAGAATTCCTGAAAAAAAAATTCCTGCAAAGCAAAGAAGTGTTTGCTTCTCTCATAGGTTCAGAGTCCTATAAGTATCCCATAGTCTGAGCAGCTTGTTCCTTTGGAACGTTAGCATCATATCTTTGGATTTAAGTCAAACAAGGGATATATTAGACTCCATCTTGTTTATGAGTTCATGATCAGGCTGAGAGAAAATAGGCATTATAGCATAGCCTGAATACTAGAATTATCAACATTGGAATTGTTAGCAGCCAAAGATGAGTCAATGGCATCTACTATTACCTGATGAGAAGAATCCACCCTCAACTGAGAATCATGAGAAGCAGTACTGGTTGAAGGATCGGCAGAAATCTGTATGTGCTGAGAAGTCTTTTTATTATTTATTAAAATAAAAAGATTCTGCTCCGTCTGATTGTCCGCAGTCTTTTTTGGAAGATTATATGTATTCTCAAAAGATGATTGGATGGTCTTGCCCGTTGGCCTGTAGACTTGACGTGGGGGAGCTTTTCCTCCTTGACCTTGTGAAGATTTTTTCCTATAGGCATTAGAGTTAGGAGCTGACGGCTGCTGGTTGGGCTTCTCTTTGTTGGCTGCATCAGTTGTACTTGACTTT